ATACCAGCGGAATGCTCTGGAGACAAAGTTCTTCAGCGAGGGGATCTGGCCAGACCTTCCTCACACCATACTAGGAATTGAACAGTTACGCAAGCGCCTGAGTAAGGTTCTCTTGTGCCACATCACGTCAGAGCTGCCTAGCCTGGTCGATGAGATCGAGTCGAAGCGCGACGCGTGCCATGACAAATTGGTCAAACTTGGTCGGCCGCGTCTTACCCCCTATGACCAGCAGCTCTTTTTGCTTGGGATTTCAGAATCATTTCAGAGGCTGGTCAAGAGCGCAACCGATGGTGATTGGAACGATCTGTTTTTTAAGGAAACCGAATCTGACAATGGCTATCACCGGCGCTTGCGCGCTGTCATCCAGAACAGCAATGACAACTTCGCGAAGACGCTCACGAGAAACGGTCAGCTGCGACACATCGGCGATTCGAGCATAGCCCCTCCGCAAAACGCAATCCATACCACACGAGACGAGTTTCTTGAGCACGTAGAGGCGAAGATGCGTATGTCGAGGGGCAGAGAGCTGCCTGGGCTGTTTGACCCGATGATCATTGCCAACCTCTTCCGGGACCAGGCCAGTCCATGGGAAAGACTGGTCCGTGATCATGTCGATTCCACGTGGAAGGCGTGCAAAGTCTTCCTTCAGCATCTTATTGTGCATATTACCGACCCCGGAACTTCAACGGCACTTCTCCAGAAGATCATTGGTCCTGCCATGGAGAATATTTCAATGGCTCTCAAGGCCAAAACGGACGATGTATTGAAGACTCACCAAGCAATTCACCCCATAACCTATAATCACCATTACACGGAAACGGTCCAGAAGATCCGAGCCGATAGGAAGCGAAATGAATGCGCTTCGGCTGTGAAGCGCTTTTTCAATGTTTCTACCCTGGGGCCATGCGACCTGTTTATTACAAATGTAGACCTCTCAAGCCTGGTGGATACCATAATTGGAGACACCACGGAGCCAGACATGAACCGATTCGCTGCCTCAGACGTGTCAGACCACATGGAGGCCTATTACAAGGTGCGAGTTTTCATTTGGTCACAGGAATAAGTCGAACTGACCTGACTAATGACTCTCAGGTTGCCATGAAGCGTTTCATCGATAATGTCGCTGTAGAAGTCATAGAAGTAGGCCTTGTATCTGCCCTTATAGACATACTGTCTCCGGTCAAGGTGCATATGATGAAGGCTGAACTTGTGGCTCACATTGCTGGCGAATCTGAGGAGAATCAAACCTACAGGGAGCAGCTTAATAGACAGCTCGAGGTACTCGGCAAAGGAGCCGAAATTTGCAAGCAATTCGCGTTCGTCAAAATTAGAGGTAAGATCAATGTAACTCAACAATTCGATAAGTGCTGACTGTATCTAGCGGACAGTGTGCCAGTCACGGACGAAGTATCGAATAATCATCGGAACAGAATGATTCACAACAAAGGCATCGGTCCACACTTTGAAAATCCTGCTTCACAAATATCAGAGACCGTTGCCTACGAGGAGAACACTGGTGAAGAATCGTTTCCTCTGGATGAAACAGTACCCGAGAGCAGTGTCTGTGATTCAGAGCCCAAGACAGCTGAGATGAGTGATCCATGGGTCAGTTTCTCCGTTTTAAAGGAGAAGAAGAAGAAGAAAAAAGGAAAGAAGCACAAGGCCGACGAGGAGCTGGTGTAAGGTCTTTCAAAGACGCATCGCGATTCGTCGAGGAGCGGAGCAAAGTCATGTCAACGTAAAACTGCCTCTGGACGATCATGATCAATCGAATGGCGGTCCAAAACGGATGCATGTGACTGTTGGCTCTACAACAAGCCATTTGGCCGAATCGAGTGAAAACTGATCTTATTACACACCACTTATCTGGTTGCAGCTGACATCTTCCCCGCTTCTAAGGTTGATCATCCCCATCCTGATTTGAATCTAATTCAACCAGGCAGAACCAATTTTGCCACTTCTTTGATATACCACAAACAAAGTCCGATAGTGACTTCGTTTCTTCCCTGACTCGCGACTTCCCTGAATCGCGAGCTTCCATTAAGCAACTCGGACTGGGTGAAAGTCACGGGGCCGCATGATGCTGTTGGCCGATACTATTACCGTATGGCTAGCGCTCGTACCATGACCAATGAAGTTTCGGTCGGTACCTCCATACTGCGACGGCCTCTACCCAAGCAGTCTGCTGTCTGAGGCATTATGTTGGAATTTCGTCTCCACGTAGACCAAAGATCCTGATACTGGACCTCGATGCGAGCGGGAGCTCCTAGTATTAGTAGGAAGACGTCAATAATAGTGTAACCGGAACATAGTTAATCATGGAGTACGAAAAGTCAGATTGGTGGGGAGGAAATGCAAAATAAATAGTGGTCTGGGGCGAGATGAGAGCGTTCATTTACTTTGTACGGCAAGCATCGTGGTGCCAAGATGGCAAGTGAGGTCGGACTTGAGACACCGCTGCAGCACGAGAGGCGTAGCGATAGGTCGACTGGTGCCACGTAAGTGCTCGGCCAGAATCCTTCTTTCGACCCCAGCTGCAGTCGCGCCTCCTGCAGTCGTGAGGGATAATTCCATCTTTGTTGTTGAAATGGCGCGATTTTTTTAGCCGAGACTTATTGAAGTGCGAGTTCTTCAGCCCACATGTCCGGGACTCTAGCTCAGTGCAAGTTGTGAAAAAGCAGGTCAGCGTATGCGGAGAAGCGCGGCATAAGTGCAGCGACGAATCCGGGAAGCTCGGGAGTCGGAAGAGATAAGAGCATTGGCAGGCCCGTTGAACAGATCCTGTCAATTCCAACAAAGAACAACCAAGTTTGACATTATCAGTTTGGGACAATGGTTGAGACCTTCGATCTCAGCTCTTACGAGTGTGAGCAACTCCCGCAATTCCTCTGGAGGGTCACTCACAGTGAGACGCAATCTCTTGGCTACATGGCATCGGACAGTACTCAGACGTTTCAAAATCCCGGCCATCTAAAAGATGCAGTCTCCATACATATCCATTGGAGACATCGGCCGAGCTGCTTTCTGTCCACCTTCAGCGACCGAGATCACGCCATAAACTGGGCAAAAGATCGCTTCAGAAGGAATACGCAAGCGGGGACAACCCCTGATGACCAGATTGTCGAAATTCATGAGATAGATACCACCAACTTGTCGATAGGCACACACGTCATTGCCATGGACTGGCTCAAGTCCGCGCTGCACCTGACCTACGACTACTCTAAACACGAGTACCTGATTCTCCACCGGATTCCTACAGAGTCGGTTGTCCGTGTTCAAAGTCTCAGCGAGATAGAAGAGGAAGGTAAGAAATTTCACTGAACACATTGCGGAGACGAGCTCATTGAAGGGAACCGCAGAGCGAACGGCGGCGCTTTCGACGTCTGTATTGAGTTCCAAGACGGTGCGCCTCTCTAAGCATACCACATCACTAGGCTCGCCGCCATTCTCGAAACCGTCTCCCCGGTGTTCACGCAACGCTGTCTCCTCCTCGCACACCACGGCTTCGGGAGCTTCTGAGGCCGGACTGCGCCTCCGTGCCATAGGTGAGGCAGCAAGTACGGTCAGCAATGAGCTAGCCAACGTAGCCGAGACTGTCGCTACCTTCGTGCAACTCCAGGCGGAGCTGGAAAATACGACATCCGTCGATGATCCAGAACACAAGCAGGTGCTAAGCAGGCTTGTTGATGTAGGCAATACACTTGTCACTCGAATGAGCAATGCATCTGCGTCTTTGTGCTCTATAGACACAATATTTAAGGGCGCCAGTGCCCTTGTATCGAGATCAGGACCATCTCTACAGACACAAAATGCAAGTCCCCCGGCGGTGGCTAACCGTGCTGCCAAAGACTTGAAACCTACCCATCCTCTGATTGTTTCAAGCTCTCCGGTGTCTCTCAAGAAATCTATCCGACCTAAGACGCAGTTGCCTTTCTAGTTGAATCCTCTGGACGGTGCGCACGTCGCACGAGGCTATCGACGCTATTATCTGGGTGTCGAATCTTTATTTCAGCAGAAAAGAAATTGAATCGGAATACGCTTTTGTGGCGCCATAATTGTATTTGTACCTTCCACGAGGGCATCAATGTTGAACCAGGCGGATGAAGCGCGAGAAGGCGAGGAAAGGAAGTAAGGGAACCTTCACCTAGTTGAAAGGTGGACCAGTGAGTGGCAGGTTGGTCCTGGGCAGTTTTAGCTCTGTTAGTCCTAATACCTCTGCACTACGCCAGTGTCCTACCAAGCGACAGGCGCCACGGACCCACACCACCACTACTAAAATGTTAGCTAAAGATTTGAGCGACACGATTTTGGCTTTACGTGTATCAAACAATTGTTACTAGTGCCAGTGAGCTTGGGCATCAAGTCTGGAGGGATGCTATATTTCTGCTGAAAGCGTGTGGACAAGAGAGTGATGGACCAAAACGCAGGCAGAAATAGACAATAACATTAGGACTGCAATGCCGTACTGAAATGGCGTCTCCATAGGTTTAGGCTTACACGGGTAGTATGGACGCTGACAGGGAATTGATGTACATCGTTCTACACGCTCTATGCCGTCGCAAGGGTATCATGGATAAAGGCAGTACAGGTACCTGAAGGAGCAGCCTGACCTGGCGTACGACATAGTTCTATATATGCACAGCCAAGATAGTTTTCGAAAACAATGAGAATGTGATGCTGCGATAATCCTTCCACCTCGACTCGACTCAGTCCGAGTACGAACAGCGCTCTCGATCTCATTCAGATATTTCAGGTGAGACGTGTCGGTACGACTATGCACCTTTGTCGAGCACCATATTCGAGAGAGCAGAGGGCGAGGCAGCTATCGTCCTAATTTTGGCTATGGGAACGAGGATTGGGCGCACATTGAGACCAATAGCCTTCATCAACTTCTTCATACTGTAGTTGGGGTGACTTAGT